CACACCACATCGCACAGAAACAGCACAGACACGAGTTTCTTTTCAGTTAATGCAGAGATGCCTTGTGGTGCACAGTAAACAGCCAACAACAACACGGGTGCTTCTCTAAGGCCTAAAATTAAAACTTGTGAAACCCTGCAAAATGTGGCCAGTGTTGTCTGTAGCAGTGGTGTCAGCGCCACCCAGTGGACAGACAGCACTACTACATGGACATGTTCTTGTGTGCTGCTGGGATTCACCACGCAGCAGGAGCTGGGCTGGTCTTCCTGCAGGAGCAGCAGAGCAGAGATCCTCCCAGTATGGCCAGACTGGAGGCCGCCCACCCCAGGTACAGGCCAGTACCCAGCTCAAACCTGCAGCAGTAACACACATCATCATCATCATCATCAACATCAGCACCAGAGGTAGTGTGCGAGTGTGGCGGACCTGACTGAAGCGTAGAGCGGGTCATAGAAGTCGTGGATGACTCTGGCAGCGTACCACGACACTGCGGTCAGACTGAACACACCTGGGAGGAAACACTGAGCGTGAATCCACAGCAACATGTCCCTCAGACACACCTAGTCACTCACATCACAGGCATGATGTATCCGCAGAAGTGTAAACAAACCACATTGGATGTTCTTGGATCAGATCTGGGCTACTTGTGGCGTGCTCCTAGATCTGATTCCTGTCTGCCCTCTGCATCTGTGAGGGGTGAAGAGGCCACGTACCAGACAGGATGAAGAGGAGTCCTCCACTCAGGGCAATCTGGTCTTTGACCTTCTCCAAGGTTCTGCTGATCTTGGTGCACTTGAGTCCCAGCACTGAGACAACGATAGAGGCCAAACCGACCAGGAGAGACAGGATCATCAGAGCCCTACAGGCCTGCAGGTGAGCTACACACCAGGACGTAAAACACAGTGTTAAACAGGCACAGAGCGTTCGATGTTGTCCACTGACCACCATCCTGTAGTCCTCTGGGTGGAGTTAGCAGCAACCCCACTGTGGACCGGAATCTACCGAGGCTACCATCACAGCACTTCTGATGGCTCCTAGATTAAAGTGCAGCGCCTTTGTCAGTTGATAAAAGGTACTGGGTTGACCCAAAAGTTGATGTTAATTAATGGAAACTTGATGACTTGTGATATATGAATCTAGTTGAATTAGTTTTCTGCACAGAGAAAAACCTGGAGTTAAAAACCTCCAAAATTTCAAAACCATCAGGAACTTTCAGCCTTTTTTCTTTCTTGTTTTTCAGTTTTTATTAGCAGCATCACTTACTTTCAGAATAAGTTGGACTGCTCAAAACTTGTACTAAACATGTAGAACAATTAGAAAATGCAAACCTTTTTCATGTCGTGCTCTGACGCTGTCTGTGCTGCAGACATGTTGCAGCACAGACAGCGTCAGTGGTACAAAATGCACAGAGAGCACGACGTGAAAAAGGTTTGCATTAACGGATCTTCTCTCTCTCAGCTTCAGCCTGTAGGTTTTGCTCTGTATTTGCTTCCATTTAGTCACAGTGTCCCCACTAACAGGAGCAGACTGAGCGGTGTGCAGCATCCCAGTGGACGTCCACACAGCTATCACTGGATCACTGTGAGGCTAAAACAGGAGAGTTCTCGGGCAGGTTCTGCAGCCTCCACTCCTCTGGTTTCTAAATGGATCTGTGGAGGTCTGTTCTGGGGGGACAGCAGTGATGATAGTATCCTCAGGAAGTGGAACTGAAACTAAAAAGATATGATACCTGTGTGCTCAGACTACAGGTGATTTTTGACCAAAACCGCAGCAAATGGTGTAACAAGAATTAAAGTCCAACTTCTGAAATCTTGGGGTTACATTATACAGGGTGGGCCACGGAAAAGTAGCCCACATGTTATCAGATACATTTGTTTTAATGGTTTTAAGATGTAAATAAATAATTAAGACATTTTGAAATAGCATGGATGGTAATACATTAAGGCACTTTAAATGTTTTGGCACAGCAGCTTGAGGTAAAACAAACACCCTTATATTCTACCTTAGAAGGGTCACCATTTTAAAATTTGGTCTATTTTTTGGTATTTCTACCCTTTGGAGCCCATTAATAGATCACAGTCCATTATTCATCCAGCCAGAATCTCACAATTAGCTTCATTACACAATTAATAAAAGGGTAAATGAATGGTTCACTTCACCAAACAGATCCGACACTAATGATGTTTCCAGGTTGCACACAGATCAAGCTGACTGATGAACTGCACTGCTTTCTATCTGCTGGACACATGGTCTCTGTGGGTGTACAACCAGTGAGTCCTCACCCGGCAGCCCCAGCACCGTCTTGAACCTGCTGCACTGGACTGAGCCCGTCGAGGTGGCAGCGCAGCTCATCCACAGACCTTCAAACAGCTTCTGGCTGGTGATGACCGACTCAATCTGACTCCTCGTCTTCCACACATGAGAGGAGGTGCAGCTGGACTGCAGACACCAGGACACGATGCCCAGAACCAGACCCACGACCTGCAGGCCTGCCTCCATGCTGCTTAACGTGCTTGCACCCACCTGGAAACACAACAGGAGGTCAACAACACCAAGCAGCTCTGACAAACAAGTGATTTTTAAGTTACGGGGAGGACTGATCCAGCAGATACAGAGAAACATGATCATCCCATTGGCAGTACAATTATCAGTTACTGGTGGTGTCCCTCAGGGCTACGTTCTGGGTCCTTTATATATTTGGTGTACTTGCCAATATGTCATTCCAAGTTACACCTTTATAAACATAAACACACACACACACACACACACACACACACACACACACACACACACACACACACACACACATTGACCCTGCTGCACAGACAATACCACAGCTCAGTTCCTTCCAACCAAATGAAAATGTTTCTGATCTTGTTTTTATTTACTCACAGTCACAGCAGAATGGCAGCTGCTCTGTGCAGTGTCCCCGTGGACGTACACACAGTTGTCACTGTGACACTGAAGGAAACTTTGAAACAGGGACACTTTCAGGCAGGTTTTGCAGCCTCTGCTCCTCTGAGGATCTATGGCGGTTTGTTCTGGGGGGACAGCAGAAATGATGATACCCTCAGGAAGTGGACGTCACACAAGTGGAGTCATAACAACCGGTGTCACGTCTGTGTTTGGATTCAACTGACCTATGATTCAGAGAAGTGTGATTTGAAGGGGTTTTTACATAGATAGATAAATAATCCTTTATTGTCATTGTAACACGTACAATGAAATTTTAGAGTGACCTCTAGTCGGTACAGCAATAAAAAAAACATAACATATACAACAACATATAACATAACATATAAAATAAAACCATATAAAGACATAACCACTAAAAAAACTAAATAAACAACAGCCCCCTCACACACACGGGCATATTATATTTTAGCAGTATTGAGTCTGGTAACTGCTGTTGGGTAAAAACTGTTCCTGAATCTAGTGGTCCTTGATTTGATTGCTGTGAAGTGTCCTTAATGATGTTCTGAGCTTTTTTGAGGCAGTGGGAACTGCATAGATCTTCCAGAATGAGGAGAGGGACGCC